TTGGCATATCAAATAAGTCACGGGGAGCTTGCCAGGCTCTGCCGTGCAGGCGAGATACTCTCGGTAGCTTGCCGGGCTCTCTGAGAGGGGCGGAGGAATCGAACTCAGGTCGGCCATGTCGGCTGCATGCAATGCAAACGCCCTACTGCTGTGCTATCGCTCCAGATAGATAGATAGAGAAATTAAAACAAGCTAGTATGCTATGGGTTGGAGAGATAATATAGCAAGTTAAGGTGCTTGCCTTTTGCACATGGCCAATCTAGATTTGATCCCCAGCACTACAAATGGTGCCCTGAACCCAACCAGGAGTGATCCCTAAGCAGTCAGGTATACCCCCAAAAGAAGTTAGGATGCTATGAAAGACAGGTATATAAATTAGAGTATTGATATTATAAATAATTTATTCATATTCTATATATTAATAACATAACATACAGGAGCAAGCCAGGAAGATAACACAAGTGGCTGGAATGCATGTCTTGCATGCAGAAGTCCCAGGTTCAATCCCTGGCACTACAGTCACTTTAGTACCAGTGAATGTAGCTTGGGATGGTCCTAACACCACTGGTAGTGGCCTCCAGGCTCCATAAGCATTTCTTGAGAGACTTCCCTAATACAAACTTAAAATTTTCCTAAGGGGTGTATAGGAGTCTTTAGGGTAAAGAGGTAAGAATATCCCAGGCAGAGGAAACAAGTTGTTTAAGAATTCTGAGGTATAGAAGAGTTTTGGAAGTTAGAAACATTTGAATGGGGAGAACAGTATAAGAGGAGACAAAAGAGAAGTTAACACAGGATATCATGGTAGTTTTAAAGTCTAACTTTATGTGTTGTGTGAAGCAGGAAAACAGGGAAGTGATGTGTTCACATTTGCTCTGTTAAAGGTCACTGGTTGTACTTCGTGGAAAATAGATTCAAGCAGACACCACTAAAACAGTCAGTGCAGTAGTTCATCCAGAACTTGGCAAGTTACGCTAAGTAGAGTTTATAAAGGAAGTCAGCAATTTGTATTTCATAAATAAAGTCAGTATGATGTAGCAATAAATTTGACCAATCTAGGAGAGAAAGTTGTGATGTAAAAAAGTAGAAGGAGGAGGAGGAGGAGGAGGAGGAGGAGGAGGAGGAGGAGGAGGAGGAGGAGGAGGAGGAGGAGGAGGAGGAGGAGGAGGAGAAAAAGAAAGAGAAAGAAGAATAAAAAGCTCAGTTGAACATTATGTTTCTTAACTTAATGTGAATTGAACATTGTTATTAAAATCATGAATTTTTTGAAGAGTCTAAAAGGGTCAGAAGCCTCCACTCTCCTTGAAAGGAATAAGGTCTTGAATTACCTCAAGTTCCTAAAACTATGTTTATCACCTAGGAGAGCTTCAAAGATGTTTGATGTATAAATAAGGGGCATATTTATTTAGGATAATGTGTTCTCTCTATCTCCATCTCTCTCTCTCTCTCTAAATCAGGGCCATATAACATTTTTTGTGGGGGTGAGGGAGACGGCACACTTGACAGTACTCAGGAATCATTCCTGGTGATGCTCAGGGGATCATATGCAGAATTAGAGGTTCTGAACCCAGGTTGGCCAAATGTAAGGCAAGCACCTTAACGCCTGTACTATGACTCTTGCCTACAATGTAACATTTAAAATTGATTTTAAAATTATCTGAGTTATTTAAAGTACAGATGAAAGTAAACTATATTCTAGAAGTTACACGAGCACAGTGGGTAGGGCGCTTGCCTTGCACGTGGTTGAGCCGGGTTCGATTCCCAGCATCCCATATGGTCCCCCAAGCACTTCCAGGAGTAATTCCTGAGTGCAGAGCCAGGAGTAACCCCTGGGCCTCACTGGGTGTGACCCAAAAAGCAAAAAAAAAAAAAAAAAAAAAGAAAGTAAACTATGTTCTAGAAGTTACACTAAAACCACCAGGAGGTGCAAATTTTCTGCATTCTTGATTATTTCTAAGGGCTGGATTGATAGCACAATGGGTAGGGCGTTTGCCTTGCATGAGGCCCATCCGGGTTTGATTCCTCCACCCCTCTCGAAGAGCTCGGCAAGCGACTGAGAGTATCTCGCCCGCATGGCAAAGCCTGGCAAGCTCCCCGTGGCATATTTGATATGCCAAAAACAGTCTAACAAGTCTTACAATGGAGACATTACTGGTGCCCGCTGAGCAAATCAATGAACAACAGGAGGACAGTGCTACAGTGCTACATATAGAACAAAATTTATAATTATGTTATAGAATAATCCAATTATTATCGTTGAAAATACATAAACGTATTCATAAATAATTTTAGTTTTTAAAAAAGTGTATATAAGTGTTTTAGATTGTTTTAAACATTATAGCATAATTCTGTTATCCTATAATCACTGCTTCCTATCAGAAACTCTAAAAATGGTGGTGTTTGAAAAAAAATCTATCTTCTCTCTTTTGTCACTTTTATCTTGAAAAAAGAGAAATATCTTCAAAAGTCATTCAGTTGTCAATAAAGTTCAGACCCATAGTTATTCATAAGTTCATTTGCTGTGTGGCTTATTTGATCTGATTTTATCTTCTTTACACTTCTAACAAGAAAATTTTGCCTTTTCTCTTTACCGTATCTCTGTAGAGGAAATATAGATTTAACTAAAAAAGCTCATTAATCACTTTTTCTGTTAGTAATTATGATGAAACAGTCATAAGTGAGCAGTGAAAATAGTGCATTAAGTAAAAGTAAGAGATACCTGTAAGTTCTACCTATGGTCTTTCTGTCATACATAACCATAAGTCATTGATAAATGAAGAAATAAATTGCAATCAAAATAAATATATTGTTTTGAAATTGCTTCTTATTCTCACCTCTCATACAAATACACACATAGAGATAGGTTCCTCAGAGATGAGTACACTATAAATCATGTTATTCAAATGACAATGCTAATGATTCTTACCATTTTCTATGTAACCTGGTATATACATGGCATGACTCCCTGGAACATAGTTGGCTAGATTGCTTATGCCAGATGAGTGATTGACATGCACTTTCAAGCTATATCTACCATTCTCAGTGAAAGAGAAAAAATATCTTGAATAAATTCCATCATTTTTTATGATATCAGCACCTGTATAGATATATGAAGAAGTTCAAAGTCAATTTAGTTACCATGGTTGATAATATTTAATTAAATCATTTAAGAAAAAGTTTGGGCTGGAGCAATAGCACAGTGGGTAGGGCGTTTGCCTTGCACGTGGCCTACATGGCTGACCCAAGTTTGATTCCTCCACCCCTCTCAGAGAGCCCAGCAAGCTACCGAGAGTATCTTGCCCTCATGGCAAAGCCTGGCAAGCTACCTGTGCCATATTTGATATGCCAAACACAGTAACAAGTTTCACAATGTTACTGGGCCCGCTCGAGCAAATCGATGAACAACAGGAGGATAGTGACAGTGAAGAAAAAGTTTTACAGCTGTCTTCTTCCTATTTCTGATAGACCATCATACCAAAACCATGTTTGATATTATCAAGTGACTGAAAATTAATGGCTCTAGATTTTCTTCCTGTGATTCCTTAACTACTGGGGGCAAAAATCTTTTTCTAGAGTCAAATGATCTTTCCAAATTTACTGACAAAAATAATTGAATAACCACCTTAATGTTCTCAGACAACTATTGAAAATAACAAATTGTATAGAAACCCACATTCTTTTTTTTTTTAACTTTTATTAGTGAAACACCATGAGGTACAGTTGTAGACTTACAAATTTTTGTGCTTGGGTTTCAGTTATACAGTGATCAAGTACCCATCCCTCCACCAGTGCCCATTTTCTACCACCACGGGTCCCAGTATCCCTCCCACCCCCCATGCCCCCCATCCCACTCTGCCTCTGTGGCAGGGCATTCCCTTTTGTTCTCTCTCTCCTTTTGGGTCTTGTGGTTTGCAAAAGAGGCATTGAGTGGCAATCATGTTTGGTCTATTGTCTACTTTCAGTGTGCTTCTCCCATCCTGGGAGGATCCTCCCAACACCCTTTATTTGGTACTCCCCTCTCTAACTGAGCTCCCTTTTCCCCTATAATGTGTGGCTGGCCTCCAAGCCATGCAGCAAAATTTCTGGTACTAATCTCGGCCACTCTTGGGTGTTAGTCTCTTATTTTGTTACTTTATGTTCCCCAGATGAATGCAATCTTTCTACGTCTATCCCTCTATTTCTGACTCATTTCGCTTAGCATGATCCTTCCATGTAGTACCACTTGCATGTAAATTTCATGACTTCATCTTTTCTAACAGCTACATAGTACTCCATTGTGTAAATGTACCAAAGTTTCTTTAACCAGTCATCTGTTCTCAGGCACTCAGGTTTTTTCCAGATTCTGGCTATTGTAAAGAGTGCTGCAATGAACAAACAAGTGCAGATGTCACCTCGACTATACTTTTGTGCCTCTCTGGGATAAATTCCCAGGAGTGGTATTGCTGAAAACCCACATTCCTAAATTCATGGTCACAAGAGATATTGTTACTAGAATACGTAAAAATCACTTTTGGTTTAATGATTAATAAGTTTCTTTATACATAATGAAAAAGATCTTTCCACAACCTAGTGTATTGAGTCTCACACCACAAACACACACACACACACAACACACACACGCACATAAAACCAGGAAAGACCAGAGACTTGGGGAGGAGGGGGTCGGGGACCTTGATTTTTAAGATATTAATCTGTTTCAGTTTCTCATCAATGTTAAGAGAATAATGTCTCACACACAAGCTTGTTGTGGCGATTTCAAAAGAGCATGAGAAAATATGTAATTTATTAGAAGGCATCTTATAACTGTGCATTTTGTTACCATTTACTAATTTTGTTTAGCAGAAAAACATTGTTTCCATTATAAAAATTAGTATTGTACAACTACATATACACTTATATAGCATTGGCAGAAAACAATATATTTGCAATTTAATGTCCATACTACCTTTTTTTCAAATATTTAACAACAGAAATGGCCTATGGGGATAGATAGAAAATCTATTAAGACCATATTTTCAGGAATCATTTCTACAGTTCATTACTATAGAAGTTTCTCTATCAGGTAGAGAACCCCCAAACCATGAAGAGAAGCAGAGCATTCTCTCCTGAGCATAAGGCCTATTCTAGGTGTTGCTTTTACAATTGCCTTTTACCACTGATGCTCATTCTTCTCTTTCTTTGGAAGAATGAGAGGGAGAGGATGTGGCCTAAGTGATTCCAGTTTTAAAAAGAATAAAAGAAAAGAAAGAAAAGCTATTGAACTGACTCAGGTGATCTTTCCTGAGAGAGCAGGAGCTCTTCTCCAGATTAGCTTTAGGAGGAAGCAAAAGAGCAAAAATCCTTGAAGTACCTAGTTAGATGACAAACAAGAATGTAAGATATGGCCCTGGGCAGAAGATCAGATCATGAGGACTTCATTTGGACCCATTCCAACAGATCAAACAGGAGGGCTTCTATGAAATTCCTTTGAGGTGGTTTTGAACAAAATCCTTTAAGTTAATTTTTATTTTATAAATATCATACAAAATCTCCAGAATAAGCATGAGATATAGAGTTCTATCCCTAATGCCACCATACTTGCTAATCTAATCCTGGAAGCTCTACTGTTTGGGAACCCCCACCATGCCAGTGCTGCTACGGAGTGTGCACTTTCTGGAGCACTTCAGCCATAAACAAACACAAAAATTATAATGCAGGACGTCCAGGAAACTCTGTAATTAAAAGTACAACAGTATTGTGAGAGGTGTGTTAGTACCACAACTAAAGTGGCAACCACCAGAGAACACCACAGCCAACCATGTGTGCAACCCTCATCATTGAAACAACAACAGATGGAAGGGAAGGGCCGTGAAAAGTTAAAGTCCAGGTTCTGTTATTTGCCTGATATGTGATGCTCTGCTGCCTTAAGAATGAGCACTTTGAAGTACCACTGTACATCAATCACTTTGTCTTCCTATTGTTAAGAATCTCTAATCTGCTTCCACTAGGTTTGCTGGCCTGGTCTTCTCGTGACCCAAACACAGTCTATGACTTGGTTCTCATCAGCTAGTTGGCTAAAAAAGAATCTAGAGTTGTTGCCTGGCTCACAAGTTTCCAATTTTTTTCTGCACAACTGAATCCGCCTAAGGACACTGCCACTAAGTAACACCTCTTGGGTTTTCACTCTTCAATTTTATTGTAGTTAAATGAGAGAGCTGGTGAATCTTAGAGAAATACAGGCATACCACAAGGCTACATACCATTCATTGAGAACTCACTTGGAGCCAGCACCATAAGGAAATGAAAGCCCAAACCTAAGTATTAGGTGAGTTTCTCCCACTCTTTTACTCAAGTATCACCCCAAGAAGCTTCATGAATGTTCTTCCCAAGTTCAAGTTCACCTTCATTTTCTTTATGTAGCTGCAACCAGAAGCAGCTTTGTCTGTCAAGGATTCCCTGAGGATGTGAGAATCTTATAAAACTAGATGAAAAACATAACTGAAGGGATTTTACAGGTGAGCTTAATATTGACACTGCGGCATAAAAACACAACAGCTCTTCAGACTGAGAGATAGCTCAAAGGGCTAGAGTGTGAGTGCATGCTCTGCATGTTGGAAAACAGGGTTCAATCCCAGCACCTCCTGGTTCCTCTGAGCATGATGCCAGAAGCAACCCTTGAGCATGACCAGGTGTAGCCACAAATCTAATACACACACACACACACACACACACACACACAGAAAATACAAAACGACATCACATCTTTGTGTTACCTGCTCCGTTGTCAAAAAGTCTCAGCATAACAGGATCTGCAGTTTCTGGCTGGATTGTAGCAGTTACAGTGGCATGGAGAAGGGGATGAAAACCCTTTCTCACAGCTGCGTAGATCTTCACAGGATGGGGGAAATGGGTGCTGTCTCTTTCCACAAAGGCTTCCACGGTGGCAGGGGGTTTGGCCGAGTGGGAGGCACGAGAGGACACAGTCACTGTCAGGGATTGGCTAGTAAGGTGGGTATTGTTCAGTGTGTAAGTCCAGAGCCCTGGCTGCAAAACAAATGTCTTTTGTTTATGTCTAGTGCAAAGGGGGAAAATAACACCCTTAACTCTGTGTGTGTGTTTGTTTGTGTGTGTAACAGTGTTGAGGAGAGAATGCACTCAGGCAATGCTAGTGTGAATCTGACCCTTTTACCACCAGGATTAGAACTTTAAGTGATTCTCTTTGGGACTCAAGCTTTTCCTACGTTCAGTGCATATGAAGCCCTGGCTGACAAAACCCTTGTTCTCTATCTGGCTTCATTATTCCTTCCCCCATTTCTTCCCCTCACTATCTCCATACTTATGTGTCACTGTAGTTTAATCTATACTGAACTGTCTGTACATGTATGAAGAGCCATATTTTTTTCTCTGTGCCTTTCTATATGATATTTCATCTACATAGAATGTTACTCAGATTTTTATTCTCCTGATTTCCATTCTGCTATCTTCACTAACAAGAAAGCATTTTCTTTCCCTTCCCTGCACACATATCCTTCATGCATGCTCTGAGTACACTGTTCTGTTTTCAATCGCAGTATGTTTTTGTAAAGCTCTTAGAACAAAAACTAGTGGATAGTAGACCCTAAAAAGCATTTCATTATACAGTCTAGGTATATCTTTCCCTAAGCACAACAGAAAACTAAGTCAATATGGACTTTATAAAGAAATAAGCAAAAAATAAAATTATTTAAGTAGAAGTAAAAACTAATTTCCACCATTAAAGTGAAAAAGTTTTTACTCTCCAGGCCCTTGGTGGTGATGGAACACAATAACTTTGCATGTCAAAATCATAAACGTTAACACTATGGGAACTATATTACCTAAACTATAAAAATAAAATAATTATCAAAAGTATTTGAATAAAGTTTGGAACATCTTAGTTACTCCTCCTAAATTTTTTATATTTATAAAAATGCCTTTTGTCAACTGAAATTAAATTGTGGTATTTTGAAACAGGGTTCCCTTTACACAATATGTTTAACTTACTTGATTCAATGGGAAGTCACATCCTTGAGCAAAAGTCATTACGAACAAGCTCACAGCACTCACCTTAGCAGTTCCCGGAAGCCAGAGGAAAGCAGTATGCAAAGGTAGATTGGTGATAAAATCACTTGTGTAGTATTTTCTTCCATTAGGATCTGAAAGTACAACCTCGGGAGGATCACCCATCTGCCATGTGACTAGGAAGGTTGTATCATTGCCCACACCACTGTCCACACTCACAGTGTTTTTCAGTTGATGGTGAGGTTTGATGTTTTCACCTGTATTTTCAAGCTGTTTGAGAGAACATACATATGTATATGTACAAGGTTTCTACTGTATGCAAGATCCATATGATTTTGTCTTTATATACATAATAAATAATTGACAAAAATAATGGTGACATAATGTGCTATTTTTACATGTCATTTCTCATAAATATGCCTTGCCAAAGCAAAATATGATAGAGGTATAAAGTAGGAATTAAATATTTTTATAGCAATATAAGTATCACTTCATTACTTTTTATCAGGGAATTTTAATTTTACCAGTTTTCATACTTCTCTCTCATCCAAATCAACATTAGCTTCAGATCAACTAATAATAACTGGCTTTAAATTATTTTTATGAATATGCTTAACTTAACTTTTGTATGATCAGATAAAAAAGATACTTTTGTCTATTGTAATAGGAAATATAACACTGGGCTTCAGGAGAAATTTTGCTTTAAATATTTATACGTGTTTAAAGGGGTGGGTTTGGGAGCCATATTTTGCAATACTCAGAGATTCAGGAGTAACCCCTGGCAGCAATCAGGAAATCATAGATAGTGCTGAGGATTGCACCGTTCTCAGTTGTATGTTACATGCAAGGAAGTCCCTTACCTCTCATATTCTCACTCATTTTCTGATTGGTATCATACAAAAACTCCCCTCAAACCAAAAAACATTTAGCTGCTCCCAGTAAGTTGTGTACACGTTTGTCTCTGTGAGTATGTGGTATGTAAAACACAGAATGTGTTTATATGAGTGGCACTGTGTTGAATTTTATGTATATTATTTCATCAAATTCTTATAAAAATTCCCTAAAATATACTCTTGTGGGGCTGTAGCAATAGTACAGTGGGTAGTGTGTTTAACATGCATGCAGCCAACCCAGGTTCGAGCCCAGGAATCCCATGTGGTTCCCTGAGCAGGGCCAGGAGTGATGCCTGAAATATCCTCTTGCTATTCACATTTTATAAATTTAATAACTGAGGCATAGAGAAATAATTTATTAACAGCAAAGATGCAGGACTGGAATCAAACCCAGGTAGGCTGAATCCAGAACCTCTGCCTGCAATTATTTTGTTTGTGAGGGATACAAGTCTGTAAATAATTTTGAGAAATAATACATATTAATGAAATATATTAGTCACACTTTGTAAAACTGTTTAAACTTAGAAACCACACATGTCCAAATTATTTGTATTAATAGCAAAGATATGGTAGATTATTATTCATGTTTCCTCAACAAATGTTTATGGACAATTGATTTCTGTGACACATTCTGTGTCTGACTCTGAGCTATCCAAATGGATTTAGACACAGTTTCTCCCCTTAACCTAGTAAGATTAATGATATACAAACAACTAGAAAGATGTAGCCAAGTTTGGGGACATAAGGCTAATTTGAGCCATATGAATAATACTATGTTAACTATTTAAAACTTTTAAAAAATTTGTTTATTTTTTAGCAATATAAAGAATGTTACAGAATTGAAAGACTTTTCAGAGAGCCTATTGTAATTTAATCTGTAATATATATTTGTAATTCTAATGTCCTTACTGCCTTTACTGTGTACACATAATCCTCATGTTAAATATTTCCTAAGGACCTCATTGTTCACATCATGCTATTAACTTGGCAGGTTCACTTACCATCTGTGAGGAAATGATAGATGAAATTTTGTCAACACATTATTTCGGAGGGAAGGAGGAAGGAGGAGGACTAGAAGTGACAGAAGGATAGTGGTGGAAGATCTTGGGTACTTTGATGGTGATGGGGTGCAGTATTTGTACATTAAACTCTTAATTATTAACACTATTGTAACCATCCTACCTAAACTACAATAATTTAAAAGAAATAAATTTTTTTCAGCGATGTTCAAAACACATTTGAAGAAAAGAGAGATGGTTTGATTAGATGCTTAGAAAAGAAGATGTTTTGATTAGTGGAAAGTT